ACCACATCGTAAGGAACAGTGTACAGTGAATGTTTTATTTGTCCTTCCCTTGCAAACAAAGTCTCATTTAATAAAAGGCTGCTGTTTTCGGGCTTGAAATTCATTTCATTTTCTTTTTTCGTGACTTTCTCGCGAAGCTCAATAAAACTGAAAGCAAGTAAACAATAAATGATCATGTATAAGAAATTAAAACACACTTTATACTGATATATCACCTTTCTGACTAAAATGTTTTAAATAAATCTAAAGTACAATTTTTTCACCCAAGCATAAAAATTTCATAACAAGCTTTTATGTAATCATGCACGAAAAAGTAGAAAATAAATGATACACTACTATTTAAATAACTACAAAGAAAAGCGTGGGTCACTTTTGTATCTATTGGATACCTTTACTAATATTTAGGAAGGGACCAACGCTTTTCTGTATAGTAATTTAAATGGTAGTGCATACTTTATTTTCTACTTTTTAGTGCATTATTACATACAAGCTTGTTATTATTTTGTAGTACTTTACATGTTTTATTTACACTAGAGTTGTATGACTAAAAACCATTGCGCACCTACTGAACGTGATGGCGCGTGACTAATAGCGCGGAATAGTTTGATGAGACAGCCTACTAATTTGGACCCAATTTTAATTAATTCATAAAAAATAATCAGACAACCCATTAAGTCAAATTGAATTTCATGTTGCATTGTCTTCATGTCTTGACCAGCGTACCAACTGCGAACCGTCTCTGTCAATTAGAAGTGCCCGTAATTTTGGGTACACAATATCAACACAGAGGCGTAGCGAAAGGGGGGGGGGGGGCAGGGGGGGTACTTATGTCCCCGGGCGCCGACCTTAGGGGGCGCCAAAATGGGTTGGAAAAACAAATTAAAATCTCATTTTAGCTGCATTGTTGCTTTATATATATATATAAATATATGAGAGGGGGGGTGCAAATCGAATGTTTGAGGGGGAGGGTGCAAATTTAAAGTTCTAGAGAGGTTGCAAATCGAAAATGATCCCGAGGGGGGCACCAAATTTAAAAGTTTGTCCCCGGGCGCCGGGAAGCGTCGCTACACCTCTGTATCAACAAACTTAACGAACATATATTTTTCATTTTCTAATCGTATTTCTATCATCTATTGCACAATAAATTATGTCTCTTGGTTTGAATAGCATGCCGTCGAAGTAACTTTCTTCTGTTAGCACGCAGCTCCGCGTCTTGCTTTTGGCACTGGAAATAAACCGTGCGAGCTTTTTTCATTTCTTTGAAAATATAAATGATTCCAATTGCAGATAATACGTTGTTACAAATATAACGAATAGGGCCAACACATCTTATTAGTGGCAGCAGGCAATATGATTGGGGATAAAACAAATCTAACCAGAATTAGAAATTTTCATTTTCTTTGACCTCCACATAAGACTGAATAGTATTCGAGGCTTTCGCTGTAGCAGTCTAGTGTCCCATTAAGAGGAATTTTGAAAACGTAATATAATGTTATGAAACTGGTTTAAGTTTATTTCGCTCTATATGTTATTGATATAGGCATAGTGAAAAATAATTATAATATATGTTCGTACATTACCTTACCAGTCTTTATTTTTAAAATATTTTGATTATAAAGTAGGCCCTATCCTATTTATTAGTGAGTTCTTGACCATAAGATAAAGTGCTGAATTCACACGTCGTTTTGTATGTTTTACTCGTATCTGTTGCATTGAGTGTGTCAGATCTTATCTACTCAATTACTGTTTTGGACTCTAAAATTATTCAGAAGCGTATGGGGGATTGGTGAATGTCATTTCCCAAAAATTCCGGAAATCGCTTTCTAGTTAAATGGTGCTATTAAAGTTTTCAATTGTTTAATGCATCATGTAACGCCGGGCTCAAGTTTTTAACATATCTTATCGTATTCCGATATTTAAAATATACAAAAAAATATACAAACTTATGGATATGTGAATACAGCTTCTTACAATATAAGTAAAGAGATATAGTAACATTAGAAAATTAGTTATGCGGCAAATATAAAACATTCTCTAATTAATTCAAAACAATCGCGAAAACATCTACACACAAATAAATGGTAATGAATTTATTTTAAAATACCTTTTTTGTGAATAACACTGTTTTATAATTCAAAATGTATCAATTTTAAAAATAGCTTTATTCTACTAAGTAGATATATCTGTAAACACTCGACGAAAATGGCCTTATACAATTTCTTTATTGACAACACAAAGGCTAATTTTAATTTAACCATTTAGACAAATAATAATGTTAATAGCTGTATCCTTGGTATTAAAATCTTAGCACTTTAATTACATCATGTGTAACATACAATTATGTAAACATTGAGCTGTATAAACATCTTCTAATAATTCATGTGATTCAGTTTGCAAATAATTTATCTTTAAGGGTTATTAAAGCAAAAAGTCGCTGCAATGTAATTATGTTAATGTCTTCCTCTAATAACCATTGTTAGTACCACTGAAAATACAGCTTTAATTAAAACGGTTGCAGCTATAATTTCGAAAATTTAAAGCTTTCTTTCAAAGAAAAGAAGTTTAGATTTTTGCATCATAGTTATATATATGCCTATATAAGAAATCAGATAAATAATTCTGAGCGTTTACAGTAAATTAAACTTTTTTCGAAAACATTAAACTCTTAGTTATAGTTAATCTATACATATTTTTATAAAAAAATGTTGTAATGAAATGTGTTTTTACAATTTATTTTTGTTTCAAAAAGTAATCGCAATCTAAAAAATATGTAAACTTGTATTATAAATTTGTAATTTTGACTTATATTCTATTAAGTAAATAATCAATTCGAGCTGACCCGCGACGTAGCATAAGCAGCTATCTAGTTGTTTTATTTTCTACTTATCAACAATTCATAATTTGTGAATTTGACTCTACACCACCGCCCTGCCTCCCCCACTCCCCCGTCACTTATTTGTACCGAACCGATTCTACTATATTCGGAGTGAACCACAGCTCACCTGACAGGTGGGTATGAGGGTGGTGGCTAAGCTGCGTGGTGTCTTTTATGGTCCTCATGAAGGGAAATAAATAAATAAAAGATAAGGAATTTATCACTAGTAAATAATACATTTTTTATTATTTTAAAATTGTGTTTTACTCTTTGTCATGAAATGTACCCATATTGTTCACAACCAATAAAAAAGAAGCTGAACATGTGGTTATTTCATATATTTTGTAATTAAAACAATATCACCTTCAATGAACTAACACTTAATTTACATTAACATTCAAAGGACTTCTGAAGTAACTGCTTAGCCATTGATAATTGTTGTATTTTGTCGAGGAAATTATTTTGTCGTATGTACCAAATAAAAAAAAAATATTATTTAGATGTGTTGCTTTAATTATGAACCAATTAACATTTGCTGAACGCATTTACCTTGGATTCAAAGCAGCCATGTTTTCATATATTACTATAGCTTAATTATTAAAAATCGTAATAAGATCATAATAAAATTTTCTTAGAAGAAGAGAGTAAAGAACATAAATAATAGACCCAAATGTGGCCCCCTCGATTTTGCAGCTAACTTTTATACATTTTAAATTGTACGTACATTCTAATGCTGCTTTCAAAGAAAGTTGTATTTCTTATTAAAATAGTAAACTGTAATGTGTCACAACCACTACAACATATTTTCCAATATTATGTTTGTTAAGGCTTTCAGAATTTTGATGGACACTTTGGCTTTCTTCTTCCCATAGAGATCGACTTACTCATGAAGTAAATTGATCTTACTGGCTAGTACAGCCAAATCTTTTGGAACTTTATGCAATATCAATTTCGATGTCACTGAGAAAACAAATAACTGAATTAGTGTTTTAATAGCAAATCTTATACAATCGTGCACTAATAAGGAGAAATATAAATGATTTTCTTTAATATAATTCTACAGTATTATTGAAATACATGTAAAGAAAAACGTGTTTCGCTTCCTAAATTGTAAAAATGGTATTCATTACATAATACAGTGAACCACAATTTACTCTACAATATATGCATGTATTTAAATAGAGGCATATTATTATCATATCTTTCCTCCATTTTACTGCATATTTTTATAAAAGCTTGGTAAAACATTTTTTTTATTTTTCAGCACTTTACATTTTTAATACAATAGTTTCATGTCTCAAAACATTTGCGCAATGAATAAATACGAAAATGTCAGTACAAGAGCGAGGAATAGTATTTTAAATTGAAAATTTTAATTAATTAATAAAACATTTAAAAACACCCATTTAAGTCAAATTTGATGTGATATTGCATTGTTATTGGGTCTTCGCCCACGTTCTAAGTTTGAATTAGTCATTGATATCGAGATTTCAATAGCCAGTTTCAAGCCAAGCTTGTAAAGAAAATAATCGCAATTGTCAGTATGGAAATTGCGCTCAAAATAGTGTTAGATTTTTAAAAGTGGCGTTTATTTGTTTTTTTTAATTTAATCCTTTTTAACGTTATTTTGGGAGATGTTGAGGTAATAATTAAAATATACAGTCACGGCTTCTATGTTTTATGGCCCACACTAGAATGAAAGGAAAATAATGGGTTTTACTCTTTTGGCTAATTGTGTACAAATGTATAATTACATTTTTAATACAAAAACTAAAAATACTTTTATTCTTGTTTACAAATACGTAGATTATATAGAAACGTATACATATTACTACATTTGTGAAAACTATTTTAATGTGTAATTTCTATTTTGTTCCAGCATTATTGAGCTTCAAGAAACTGATGTCCCAAAATACGAAAATAAAATGAATTTTAACACAGAAAACGTAACACTTCTTTTGAATGACACCCGATTGTTTAGGAGTAAAGGACTATCTAAACTGACAGTGTACAGTATTTCTGACGATGTGTTTTACATTGTTGACATGATCCTGATGAGATTTATTCTTGAAGTTTTTATTTTACTTGGAATTCTAGGAAACAGTGCCACAATAATAATTATAGTCTACAACGGCTTTGATTCATCAACAAATGTTGCGCTGACAGCTTTAGCAGCATCGGATTTGTTCTATTCAATAACAAACCTTCTCATTTTTGTCAATAAATACATAGAGCTGTTTGATATCAACATAGCCCAGACTATAACGTTATCACGTATATCTGTTTATACAGTTGGAACCAGTGTTCTATATCGATCAGCATTCTTTTGGTTTCAGTTATTGGATTTCAGCGAATGATAGCTGTGTGGATTCCCTTCAGTGTAACCCGCATCATTACACCTTTGAGAATGACCTGCATTGTCATCATTGTTTATATTGCAATGTCTCTTGTGTACATACCGTTGCAGTTAATATACAGAATAATATGGTCAAATATAGAAGGAACCAATATTACAGTCGCTATCGGGATGTTTTCTGATTTTTACATAAACACTCACTTTTTCTACACAGCCTATCGTAAATATTTCTATTCATTTATCACCGCCTTAGTTCCTGCTGCTATAATTGTCCTGAGTTCTATGATGATAATAATAAAGCTAACAACATCAGCAAGAAATATAACACATATGTCTTCAACAAAAACATCAACAAAAAGAAAAAATGATATTAAATCGATCAAAATAACTTTATCATTATGTGTCAGTTTAGTCGTGCTGGTTTTAATCCCATCATATACGTTTGATCTTTTCTTTTCTTTTGGACAACCTGGTATTTTTGATCAAAATACTGTAAGGACCATACAGTGGATTCTTGTTAATATTTTCCAGCTTAATGCTTCACTTAATTTTATTATATACGTGACAATGAACACCAAATTTACGAAAACATATAGGAAATTAATGTGTTGCAAAACGTAAATAAACATATTTATAAATACTTGAAACAGACCCAAGTTGTAGTATAGGCCCTTCTAGAGTGGCACAACGAGTATACTAATGTAACTCTAGGTATCGTTGTTGAAATTCATTAAACACAGGGAATTCAAGTATTTTTTTTCGCCAGTGTCTTGATCGTCATCTAATTTGAAAGTTTTACATCTATGTCATAAAATTAAAAAATCAGTTTAGAACTTTTCGATTTTTCTGCCCCAGGCATTTCTAACGTCTAAAATTGTCAAAGCATATTATATTGTGTAGTACAATAAAAATGTTTAAAATATTTTTTAAAATGTGGCACTTCGTGTTAATGAATGATGAAAGACTTTATAGCAGCACTTTTAGAAACAATTTTTGCATTAAGGAACAGTGTGGTTTGACTGCTAACCCCATAGTCTCGAGTTTGAATCATTGTGTCCATCCAGTTCTGATGGGCACTTAACTCAACATGAAAGGTAAGACGGCTGGGAATAGTGCAGGCCACACTATCCCTCCATACGCCAAGTTTGAAAGTGAACTTTACCTGCCCCATGGGAAGGGTACTGGCACTTTATTTATATTTATATAGAGGAAACTTTGATTAAAGATGGTTAAAAAAAGAACATATTTATTCAATATTAATCATTGTTACATTATACTACACAAAAGTGCAACTTTGACCTACAACACAAGGCTGGATAAAATGGCAATGGATCACCGACCATCATTTTATATTACCTTTATAGAACCCCTTCCTTCACCCAAAGCATTATACAATTCAGGAAGTTATCATGTTTAGTCAACGCTTCTAAGAAACAGAAATTTTGCAAAACCAAGGAAAAACAGCAATGGTTTACTTCAATCCCTACTTCACCTTATTATAACAAATAATTAAAACTTGACATGAAAGCGTTAGACATAAACTTTAAAAAAAAAAATTTAAACATTTTTGTAAATATTCGAAGGCTTTTTACAATAACATCTAATAATGTTTACTTGAGTTATTCAGCACGACATTTTAAAAAGAGAGTACTAAATTATAAATAGAACAGTTATTTTAGGGAACTTAAGTAACTTTATCCATTAAAGATACATATAAATATTAGGAACGTATCATGAGAATGCATTTGTGTTATTTTTTACTGTAAAATAATTTTTTAAAATACATTTTTATTCCAGTGGTGTTGAGCTTCAAGATACGTCGTAAAATAAAACAATAAAATGAATGTTCCCAAAGCCAACATAAGCCTGCTTTTAAATGACACTCTTTGGGATTGGAGTAAAGGACAACCCAAACCAGCAGTGTACAGTATTTCTGACGATGTATTTTACATCTTAGACATGTTTTTTTATACGATTTCTTTTTGAAGTTTTTATTTAACTCGGAATTTTCGGGAACAGCGCCACAATAATTATTTTATTCTACAATGGTTTTGATTCATCAGCAAATGTTGCGCTAACAGCTCTAGCAGTATCGGATGTGTTCTATTCAACATCAACTCTTCTTATATTCATAAACAAGTATACAGAACTGTTTAATATCTACACAGCCCAAACTGTAAACGTTATAACGTATGTTTCGTTATATTACTTGAACCAGAGTTGTATAACACTAAGCATTCAACTGGTTTCAATTATAGCCCTTGAGCGAATGATTGCTGTGTGGTTTCCCTTTAGTGTAACCCGCATCATTACACCTTTTAGAATGACCTGTACTGTCATCACCGTTTATGTTGTTATAACACTTGTTTACCTGCCATACTTAATCTCGTACAAAATAATATGGACAACAGTAGTTGGAACCAATATTACTGTAGCTAACGGAGTGTCAAGTGATTTTTACTTAAACAATCGCTAAGTTTACTTAGAATATCGAACATATTTTTATTCAATTATTACTGCTATTGAACCAGTTGTTATAATTGTTTGATAGCTCTGTAATGATAATAGTAAAACTAACCATATCAAGAAGAAATTTCACAAATATGTCTTCTACAAACGCATCAGGAAAAAGAAAAAAGGATATAAAATCAATCAAAATTACTTTAACGTTATGTGTAACTTTAGTCGTCCTGGTTTTAATTCCATCAAATTTTTTTGATCTTTGGTTTGCATAATGCGACGCTCAAATATTCGATTTGAATATAGTTAAAATAATCTATTGGATTCTCTTTAATATTTTCCAGCTTAATGCTTCGCTTAATTTTATAATATATGTGACAATGAATTCGAAATTTTCGAAAACATTTAAAAGACTCTTTTGTTGCATGTAAAGTAATATGCCTTTTAAAAAAATGACATAAAGGCCCGAGGTTTAATATAGGCATTTACTGAATAATATTTTTATGCAATACCGTTGAAAGCTATGAGCTAAACGATATTTTGTATCTTTTGTTTTATTTTTTATTTTATTCTTCAATTGTGTCTAGATCGTTATCCCATGTGTTTCATTTCTGAACCTTATACATTCCAAATCTTAAATCTATTAATGCCAAAATACAGACATCGTTTTTTGACACCATTATTTTTAAAATTTACTTAAATTAGAGCTGTAATCACCTATGAGCTTTGCTTTTAAAACACATATTCGACTGTAAACAGAGTTGACTATTTGTTATGAGGACACGTCAATTAAATTTTCTAAAATGTATTAAGAATTGTGACACTTTGAGATAAATAAGCTATAGTAAAATTTGTAGCAGCAAATGTAGTCTATTATTGTTAGACTGGATAGTAGATCCAACGAAAACTAACCCGAATTTTTCGTATCACTGGCTCATGCTTTTTGGTCATCGCTAAGACTACCACTTTGAAGCTCACTTAACAATGTCGGCAGAGTTACGACCCAACACTATTTACATGACTGTCAAAACGACACAATTAGGCTATTTTATTAGAAAATCGTCTAATGCTGATTTTATTTTACTTCTTAGTATTCTAAAGATTAAGGGAACCCGAGTAGACGCAGATACAGACCATTGGGTTCGTAAATTTAAAAAAAAAACAACCTTTGTTTGCAGAAATCTGAACTCCCAAAGTTTTGTGGATATCAAATTAACGGTATAGCAAACATACACAACATTTCGCATATATATATATATATATATATATATATATATATATATATATATATATATATATATATATATATATATATATATATATATACATATATATATATATATATATATATATATATATAGAGAGAGAGAGAGAGAGAGAGAGAGAGAAATAAAGAATGAATATATATATAATGAAAGGTAGTTTAGAATACAACTAGATAACTGCGTTATCACTGTAAAAAGATGTAGGTACTTTGACGATGCCAAGATGTTAGTATGGTTCACATATGCGAACTTTAAACGATAATATTGAATAGTATATATATATATAAACATGCAATTGGAGCCAAAACATTAAAATTTGATACGAATATTTAGGATCAATTATTAAACACGTCGTAGTAATCACATCCAAATGTCTTTAACAGGGAAAATTTGAAGCATATTATGTCATTAACAAAAGTAACTACTGCGTTTCTATTGAATAGTAAAGCATTGTAAATCATTGTTAGTTGATGGATAGTTAGATTTGTCTACGCACCCAAAAATACTAAACGTGTTTAGTGCTGTTATAATATGCGTTTATCCGTTGAGTAGTGCCGGTTTTGAATTATGTTTAAATAATCAAATGTATTACGGCTGCAGTACATTTTGACCAATTTTACATTTTTTTTTTGGCTTAAGTATTGTGTTTCACACATTTAGAATTTTTTAAAAAATGTTTTAATATCCTAAATTAACATTTTAGAATTTGTTTTAAAGTTTGTATTACGTTTTTCAATTCTTAATTCTGTAAAATATATTCTGTATAGATATTTCAGTTCGATGTTGTACACTATAGAAATCGAAAATATAACCAAACGAAACCAAAAGAAAAACACAAACGCCAATAAAAAAGAAAACACAAACAAAAACGCAAACACAAACAAAAACCCAAACAAAAAAACAAACACAAACACAAAAGTAAACACAAACTATCGCAATGTTTAAAACGGACGTAGGCGCCATAGCGCACACAGGTGGCCCTGTGTACCAAATAGCATCCTGTCGAGGCGCCAGAGAACGCATAGATTCGATTAAGTTAAGGACTTTACTAACCCTTTTTATCCAAAGTTTATACCAATGCGCTCACAGGATAGCCAAGGGCGCCAAATCGTACAATGTCGGGGCGCCGGCGGACATGCCTGATTCCATTTACTGAACGACTCTAATACCCACAGGTTGTCCGCAAACCGACAGATAGAAGTAAATCTAGAGCACATTTAGGTGTGGGTTCTAAACTGTTATTGATAAAAAAAACAATAATTAGTAAACAAATCTTTTAGACAGCATATGAATATTTGTATTTTACCTACCACATTGCACTTTCAAAATGCATGGTTATTTAAAAAAAAAATTCCAACGCTAAAACAAATTTTTAAAAACTATTTTACCCCCTCGATGGAATGTTCTTAAGGGAAGTAATATTTTTTGTGTGATGTATCTAGGGATGTAATCGGCAATAAAGGAACAAAGAAAGGTAATTTGTACACTTCTGAAATTATTGTGAAGGATGATATATATTCCTGTAAAATGAAATGTGTTTTATAAAACCTTATATAATACTACTTAAAAAAATATTAATTGATTAATTAAGATAATAAACACTTCAGGTGTATTGCCTTATGGCGATCGAGTCGAGTTTTTTTTTTTACTTTATGTCTCTTTTGCCGTCCTCTGTCACATACGTACAGAGCTTTATAGATTAAATTCAAATTCTCAAATATGTTTGCAAACCTAAGTGAAGCTAAGCAAAATGCCTAGTGGAGACATACGTCGTTAAATCGTATTAAAGAAATCATAATGTTATCACAATGAAAGGATCAATAAAAAACCGTGTTGAAAACATATTCTGTGTACACATTTAAGCTAAATAAGTATGAATACATAGTGGTCTCAAGGTTGAAGTTAACACATTTGTATATGGGAGCTGATACAAATGATTTGTCATTAAAACTAACAAATCTGACGATTCAAAATAGAAAAAAAAATAATGCAATAATGGTTGATGATTGAAACCCATTATTAAAAGACATAAAAATAGTGACAGTATTTCCAAATATTTGAAACACAAATAATTATTGAAGCAAGAAACACATTACAAATTAAAGATATTACAATATATATGTCTTCAGAAATATTATCATAAAAGTAGCTAATGTTTATGACACCATATATCAAAACTAGAGTTATGTAGATCATGATTTCAAAACAGTACAAGGCACTAAGAACAATTGGGACTACTTGTCACATTTAAACTCCATGAATCTAGTTTTCTCATTACTTTTTCCAATGTTTGCTATCTTGTAATACAACTACCATCCAACATAATACAATACTCTTCATAAGTGTCATAAGCCATTGATATATACTTTAGGATATAAACGATTATCTTTCATGTTTAGCAACAAAAAAAAGAACTAGTTTTTAATGCGGTTTAATACTTATAATTTAAAAAAAAAACTCTTGTACACAATTATGTTAAACATCAATTTTTTTTATAATTATCACTTTATTGTTTATGGTAAAATACTTGTGTCAGTGGATTCCGATTTAATTGAAATAATTTTCTAAGCAGATTACAAGCTGCGCGTACTATTACGAATTGGGTATTATTTATAAATTACCTACCGATGTTTTTTCTTTGTAGATGCCTCAAAGTAATTAAGTGTTGCACGTATTTTGCTAATAATAGTGTGTTTATTGATTACATGACTCACTGTTAGCAAAATCCATTGTTAAAACATAAATGGGTGGTAAATAGCAACGTATAACTTACTGAAAATCTACTTCCTCTTAGTAGACCAGTTTGTTATCTATATTTTTAATTTTTCCTTTTAATTTAACATAATTTTGTCCTAACAATCTTTAGATATTAATTATCGTATTTCTACTTTTCAAAATAAAAAACAAATGGTAGCTGCAGTGAGGTTAATGTAATTAGTAATAAAACAGATAGTATTAGTTACCTCACAAGGTAAAGACAGTTACAACAATGGACGTTTCGACCCAAGGTCTTCGTCAGCACACAACAGTGTGATTACAGATTAGACAAATAAAGACAAACAGTAACACATTTTTTGACTTAGCTCGACCGTGAAAACACGTCTTGTCTGCTAGCCACGATATCCAAAAGAAAATACGCGTGAGAAGGACGCTTGGACACCGTATAGGGGTGGGGTTGGGGGCGTGATGTATGCGGGAGGGGGGGGGGTTGTTAGGTGAAAGATATCTGTTCATTCAAGCCATCGGGTGCCCGTGTGCCAAATTTAAGTATTAGTCGCGTTTCAGTGCTAAGGCGATTTTTAAAATTGTGGCAAAACCGAACGGCGGTTACACAAAAGTCCTTTTTTAAGTCATGCCCACTCTTGTTGAAGTGTTTGGCCACAGGAAGACTGTCTTCATTGTTGATTGATCGCAGGTGTTGGCTAACCCTGTCAGACAATCTTTTCCCCGTTTGTCCAATATAAAAAATGTTGCAACGCCTGCACTTGATGACGTAAACTACGTTGCGGGACTCACAGTTGAAGTGATTTTTAATTTTGAGGGTTCCCTTCGGCAGCTGGAGTGATTCAACCTGAAGGGTGAAAAGACATGTATTGCATTTACGGGGACAAGGAGTGGTGCCAAAACCGGTGTTGGTAGTGGGTGGCAGGCGGCTGCGAACTAAAAGGTCTCTAAGGTTGCGTTCCCTTCTATACACAACCAAAGGATTCTGTTGAAATAAATGGCCTAAATGGGGGTCTGACTTGAGGATAGAATAATTTTTTATAATATTTTTAGCCAAAACTGAATGAGGATGGTAGGGTAAGATGAGTTTAGTTCTATCTGACTTTTGTTTTGGAAATTGTTGAAGGGAGGCTTGGTGGTCAACAGTTGTTATGCGGTGTAGTGCTGACTGGAGTATATGCTCCGGGTATGACCGGAGTCGAAAGAACTGTAGTAGCTCATGGGCCTTGATCCGAAAATCGTCATTATCTTGACAAATACGTCGCAGTCTTAATAATTGTGAGAATGGTATAGAATTTTTGCAGGCCGGGGGGTGTGACGAAGAGTAAAGTAGATATGAATGTGAGTCGGTTGGTTTGTAATATACAGTCGTCCCAACGTTGGTTGTGTTAAGCGATATTGTCATATCCAGGAAGTTAACAGAACTCTCTGAAATTTCAGAGGTAAATTTAATGTTTGGGTGGTAGTTGTTGCAGAATGATATGAAATCTTGCAGTTCTTCTTCTGCCATCTCTGTGATACCTAACCCATCATCAATGTACCGCCGATAAAAACATGGAATTCTGCCAGTGTATTTTTCCTGGATTTGACCCTCCAGGTAACCCATGAAGAGACACGCATAACTAGGACCCATTTTAGTTCCCATAGCTACCCCACTTATTTGGTCAAAGAACTGACCATCGAACTCGAACGAGTTGAGGTTGAGAACTAACTCGGTTAATCTAAGTATGGTATTACTGTCAATAGAGGGATGGGGGTTCACATTAAAGAAGTGTTTAATAGCTAGTAGACCGTCTTTGTGGGGTATCGAGGTGTATAACGACACCACGTCTAATAAGAAAATTAATCTCGGTTTATTGCTAGTGAATTTTAAAGATTCTAAAGTTAAAATCGCATGGTTGGTATCTTTGAGGTACGATGGTAGTGCCTCAACTCTGGGTTTAAACACACTGTCCAGAAAGGATGATATAGTTTCAGTAGGACAGGCGCATGCTGATATAATGGGTCTACCTGGGCAACCAGATTTATGAATTTTGGGTAGTAAATAGAATGAAGGTCTTCCCAATTTACTGTCGAAAATGCGTAGGCTAGATGCTGTTTTAGGGAGTTTCTTAGATGCTATTAATGTGTTTACAGTTTTGGTAACAACTGTGTTATTAGTTAAGATCCCATCCTTAAGACGCGGTGAGTAGAATGTACTGTCAGAGAGTTGTTTATATGCCTCTTTTGTGTACAGGTCTTTATCCCATACAACGATAGCCCCGCCTTTGTCAGCCGGTTTAATTACAATGTCCGTGCGGGTCCTCAAACATGCGAGCGCACGCGATTCACCGGCTGTGAGGTTGGAGTGTTTTAATGGGGCCGGTTTGAAGTTATTTAGTTCGTACTCGGTATGGTGGATAAACAGATTGAGGTTTTTTGAGGAATTAAAATTTGGGGTCCAGTGCGACTGTCTTTTTGCGAGTTTATAGAATAAGTCATCTTCAATGTTGTCTTGGTTAAAACCTGAGGGATTGTTGTCGAAATAAGCTTTACTTTTAAGTTTGCGGAAGAGCTCGTGGGCGCTGCTAAGCAGAGTAAATTTATCAGTGGTTGGTCTCAGGGGTATAAATTTCAAGCCTTTTTTTAGGACAGATCGTTCATCACTCGAGAGGGGGATGGTGTCAGGTATGCAGACCACTTTTGTATCGGAAGGGGCGTGGCTGTTCGCCGTCGGTTTAGGGGTAGGGCAGAGGTTTTTGAGTTTCTTATTTTTATGTTTCACCAGGTAGGAATAAAAATCTCGATTGAGTTGGTGAATAATGCAGCGTATAAGGTTGTAGAGTTGTAGGTTACATGATGTGTGTGAGTATAGACGTTGCTCCAAGGATGCTATCCTCCTATCTAATGTTGAGTTAAGACGTTTGTAATGCTGGATGGTTAAGCGCATTTGTTGAAACGAGTATTTAGAATTTAACTGGTTAAAAAGCCTACGTTCATATGCATTAGGAGTGGAGCATGAAGGCCGAAAGTTTATTCTGAAACCTATTGGTATTACCCGCAAGCGTAGACACTTGTTGATAAAGTGAGTATGGCTGGTGAACCTTGTTTTTCTGAACAAGGCAAACGCTAATTCTGTAGATGTGTTAGAAATTGTAGTAGGTAGTAGACTAAAGCACGTTGTGATGAAAATTCGCAGTTGGTTAAACGCATTTTTGTATGATAGCATGTTGATTGTCGGGCACGAAAATTTGGTTAGATGGAACAAAAGAACAGGGAATCTTATTACTACGGTAAAGTGGGGGTAGCAGATTATGTAACTGCTCTAAAACAAAATAAGTTATGGGGTAAAAAACACGTTTGAAAAATGAAGTATGTATGTAAAACACATACGCAGATAACGAGACAAAGCAACACGTAGTAGCAGCCAAATAACTGGTTAGCGAAAAGATAAAAAACAAATGGTAGCTGCAGTGAGGTTAATGTAATTAGTAATAAAACAGATAGTATTAGTTACCTCACAAGGTAAAGACAGTTACAACAATGGACGTTTCGACCCAAGGTCTTCGTCAGCACACAACAGTGTGATTACAGATTAGACAAATAAAGGCAAACAGTAACACATTTTTTGACTTAGCTCGACCGTGAAAACACGTCTTGACTGCTAGCCACGATATCCAAAAGAAAAGACGCGTGAGAAGGACGCTTGGACACCGTATAGGGGTGGGGTTGGGGGCGTGATGTATGCGGGAGGGGGGGGGGGGTTGTTAGGTGAAAGATATCTGTTCATTCAAGCCATCGGGTGCCCGTGTACCAAATTTAAGTATTAGTCAAAAGATAATCATTTTACCATGCATAATTATAATTTCCCTCAAAATTACACCATACAACACGATAGTGTATACGTTTAATTAGCCTTTTAGTTATATTTATTCCGTTAATAAAAATTATCTTGAGAAACATAAATCAAACTACATCTATAAAGAACAGCAATGCAGATTACATTTAGGAAATGACGGTTTATATTTTAGCTTTTTGCTAATTTTGTGCATGCACCTAGGTAACTGATTCCGACATATAGAATATCTGTTTTTTAGACTCTCTGCGCTAGCCCAGTGCTAAAAACTTACCGAGTGTGAAAATCTTATTTGAGCTGTATATATATATATATATAATTAGGATATTTAACTCTAATGTCAAGGCAGTTCTGCTGTATGGAGCAGAGACATGGAGAGTATCCAAGGCAAGCACAGCAAAGATACAGACCTTCATGAATAGATGCCTTAGACAGATACTGAAACTGAGATGGCAGGACAAAGTGCCGAACTTGGAACTATGGAGGAAAGCTAGGCAGGAGCCTATAGGTGTGCAAATAAGAAGGAGGAAGTGGCGCTGGGTGGGTCACACACTGCGAAAGGCTCACACAAATGTTACACGCCAAGCGCTTGAGTGGAACCCCCAGGGAAAGCGGAAGAGAGGGCGCCCAAGACAGACCTGGAGGCGGAGTCTTCTTGAAGAACTGAAGCAAATAGGGATGTCTTGGGAGATGTCAAAATTAATAGCCGAGGATAGGAAGAAATGGAAGGAAATGGTGGAGGCCCTATGCTCCATAAGGAGCAAAGAGGACTAAGTCAAGTAAGTCATATATATATATATAATATATCTATATATATATATATATATATATATATATATATAATTCCCACTTAATATCAGTTACTTTGGAAATACTAGAAATAATACACTTTTAATTTTTTAATGTATGTTTATTACAATTATGAATAATTTTTTAATTGGTGATTAGTTGTTATGTGGAATGGTTGTTAATTTAATTCTAAGTTTTTTTTCTCGCCTTCAAAAAAGAAAAAAAAATTGCGCGCCAACAAAATAATTAAAACTGTATAGACTTCGTCGATTAGATAACAAACATTATATCACAGTTAATATTTAACTTAACGTCTACAATTTTATTGGGATAAGGATAATATGTTCTTTATTATCATTATTTTAAAGCATTTCTGGTACTATCATTGTTTCATAGCTTTTAAATCATATTACAAATTAAAGATATTACAATATATATATATATATCTTCAGAAATATTATCATAAAAGTAACTATTGTTTATGACACCATATATCAAAATTAGAGTTATGTAGATCACGATTTCAAAACAGTGCGGGTCACTAAGAACAAACGGGACTACTTGTCACTCTTAAACTCCATGAATCTAGTTTTCTCATTACTTTTTCCAATGTTTGCTAGGTTGTGATACAACTACCATCCAAAATAATACAATACTCTTCATAAGTGTCATAAGCCGTTGATATATACTTTAGGATATACACGATTATCTTTCATGTTGAGCAACAAAAAAAAGAACTAGTTTTTAATGCGGTTTAATACTTGTAATTTAAAAAAAAAAACCTCTGTTTCACAATTATGTTAAACATCAATTTTTTTTTAATAATTTACCACTTTTTTGTTTATGGCAAGATACTTGTGTAAGTGGATTCCGATTTAATTGCAGTAATTTTCTAAGCAGATTGCAAGCTACGTGTAGAATTACAAATTGTGTATTACTTATAAATTACATACCGATGTTCCTAAGTTTTTATCTTTATAGATGCCTCAGACTAAGTAAGGGCTGCACATATTTTGTTAATAAATAGTGTGTTTGTTGATAACATGACTCACTGTAATCAAAATCCATTATTAAAACATAAATGGGTGGTAAATAGCAACGTTTAACTTACTGAAACTCTACTTCTTCTTTGTCGACGAGTTTGTTATCTTTATTTTTAATTTTTCCTTTTAATTTAACATAATTTTGTCCTAACAATCTTTAGATATTAATTATCATATTTCTACTTTTCAAAATGCAAAAGATAATCATTTTACCATGCATAATTATAATTTCTCTCAAAATTACACCATACAAAACGATAGTGTATACGTTTAGTTAGCCTTTTAGTTATATTTATTCCGTTAATAAAAATTATCTTGAGAAACATAAATCAAACTACATCTATAAAGAACAGCAATGCAGATTACATTTAGGAAATGACGGTTTATATTTTAGCTTTTTGCTAATTTTGTGCATGCACCTAGGTAACTGATTCCGACATATAAAATTTCTGTTATTTAGACTCTCTGCGCTAGCCGAGTGCTAAAAACTTACCGAGTGTGAAAATCTTATTTGAGCTGTATATATATATATATATATATATATATATATAATTCCCACTTAATATCAGTTACTTTGGAAATACTAGAAATAATACACTTTTAATTTTTTAATGTATGTTTATTACAAATATGAATGATTTTTTAATTGGTGATTAGTTGTTATGTGGAATGGTTGTTAATTTAATTCTAAGTTTTTTTTCTCTCCTTCAAAAAAGAAAAAAAAATTGCGCGCCAACAAAATAATTAAAACTGTATAGACTTCGTCGATTAGATAACAAACATTATATCACAGTTAATATTTAACTTAACGTCTACAATTTTATTGGGATAAGGATAATATGTTCTATATTATCATTATTTTAAAGCATTTCTGGTACTATCATTGTTTCATAGCTTTTAAATCATATTACAAATTAAAGATATTACAATATATATATCTTCAGAAATATTATCATAAAAGTAACTATTGTTTATGACACCATATATCAAAATTAGAGTTATGTAGATCACGATTTCAAAACAGTGCGGGTCACTCTTAAACTCCATGAATCTAGTTTTCTCATTACTTTTTCCAATGTTTGCTAGCTTGTGATACAACTACCATCCAAAATAATACAATACTTTTGTGCATGCAACTAGGTAACTGATTCCGACATATAGAATATCTGCGCTAGCCGAGTGCTAAAAACTTACCGAGTGTGAAAATCTTTTTTGAGATGTATATAAAAAAAAATTCCCACTTAATATCAGCTATTGTGATAATCCTAGAAATAATACACTTTTAATTTTTTAATGTATTTTTATTACAAATATGAATATAATTTTTTAATTGGTGATTAGTTGTTATGTGGAATGGTTGTTAATTTAAATCTAAGCTGTTTTTTCTCTCCTTCAAAAAGAAAATGTAAATTGCGCGCCAACAAAATAATTGAAACTGTATAGATTTAGTCGATTAGATAACAAACATTATATCACAGTTAATATTTAACTTAATGTCTACAATTTTATTGGGATAAGAATAATATGTTCTATATTATCATTATTTTAAAGCATTTCTGGTACTATCATTGCTTCATTGCTTTTAAATCATATTTATTAAACTTTATTTTTTGTATTGATCCAGACTTATAACACTGTGTAAATTGTGCTAACTAAACATGTCAAGTTTTTGTAATATACTGTATTATAATAGTTTAATTATTTTTTAAAGGGTATGAATTATCCACGTCCCTTGATTGAATAATAGGACCGCCATTTTAATTCCCGTACTTTTTTAGTGTTTCCTTGCTTGACATTAACTCGACGTAATTTTTTATTATGCAATTATTTATAGCATTCTAATAATATGTAATTATTTATAATAATCTTATTTCCCCACTCAACAACTAGATTTATTGATGTTTAATCACACAATTTTTCCCTAAATTAATAAGCGCTATGGACTTAACGTATGACAAAACGGTATATAAATTTTCACAAAATTTCTTGTTGCGTACTAATTTCTTATTGCGCAATATGAGAAGAAATAACTGATACAATCTTATTCATTTAGGATTTTAAATGTGTTTTATAATTAACTGTTTATAAACCTAAAGCCATATCAGCGTCTCATATCAAATGTTATACTTTGTCTTTAAATTATAGTACCTTGAGCAATATAGGGCGAAATTACATGCATTTTGACTATTTAAACAGACACAGTTCCAAATAACTTTATTGTCCAACTTACATATTTTTTTAAGAAATAAAAATTTCAAAAAT